CCTTGTGTCTTGATTGCTTTACAAACTTGTTCTGGCATTGGGATGGATTGTATAATATAAATCTGTGCTTTGATTTCCATCTAGGTCACTTGGATCTTTCCCCAAAGAATTTTTTTATCTGAAATTTGCCTAAAACATTTCTAAGCTGTCAGTAAAACCTTAATCTACAAATATTTAAATAATTAAGTTCAGAGGGTGAAGATATTAATTAAAATCTTTGTCTAATTATTTTTAAGCTAATATCTTATAAATATTACACTATATTTGACATCATTATCTTTCTATACAATTGTTTTTTTATATAGTAAATTTATAATTTATAATTGTATACATAAAATATTAATAAAAAATATATTTGTATAATTCAATATTCATCATGTAGTCAACTTTGAAAAGGCTACTAATACCACAAATTTTAATATAGCATTTTACTAGGGAATTGACTCAACAAAAAAATTGTTGATTGATGATTGATAGGAAAATTTTTTTGTATTAATCAAAATTCAATTATATATGTTTAATTATGTACAATTGATCAAGTATATAATTTATTTGCTCGAGTATATATAATCAACTATTGATCGATTATATAATAATTTTTAATGATATTCTGTAAAATAAAAGATTTTTTTTAAAGATTTTCTTAATTGATCAAATTTTAACCATTTAATTGATTAACATAATCAATCATTAATTGACTTACTTTTGTTTGAGCTTATAACATCATGTTTAATCATCAAGCCTAATTGATCAATTATCAAGAATTACATAATCAAAGCAATACACTAATTATATCTTTACAAACCTGTTTTAAATCTTTAATATTAAATGCAAATTAATAATTTTTTAAGTTGTTTCTATAATATTATTTACTATCCAACTCAAAAAATTTAAAATTTTAACTTGTTAAATGAAATTACCTAGACCAGTACTTGGTAGACTGATTTTTACAAATTCAAGCCAACTTTTCATTGATATTTATATAGGTAGAGCTTTTTTTACTTAACCTCTAGTACCAAACTATAGTTTCTATATATATAAAAAAAAATCTAAATTATTAAATACTTTTAAATTTTTTTGATAAAACTGTACTTTAATAGCAATTAAATAGAAAAGATAGTTGGCTCAATTTAAAATCATCACTTGGGTTGGCTTACTGCTAACAGGTAAACAACAAACCTTTACTAATTTTTTATAAACATGATTGCTCTAAAACTTTTATTGGTGTAAAAAGCCAGAAAAGAACTAAAATTATGTGTTCAGCTTACTATTTTTGTAGTACACTGGGTTTGCAGCAACAAAAAAACTAGGAGTCTTTTAAATTACAAATTGTTATATATTTTTTTGTTAGAATGTCATTTGAAGTTCTATTGTAATACAAGAATGCAAAAATAAAAATAGATTTTTAAGTTACATAATCCTTTGTTGTACAATGGGCATCATTTAATTATTGTAAAAAATAATCAAAAGTAATGTAACAAGCACAGGTTCAATAAATACATAAAGGATATATATTAGTATCCCTTTATCATCCTGATATCTATCCTTTATGTATCTATTATTAATCTGTTTTGCTACAGTTATTTGGCAGATCTATGGTAAAAATAAAGAATAAATATTAGATAAATAAAGAGTATCTATTATTATCCCAATATCGATCCTTTATATGATAATTATCTACCTGGTTCCTACATGTGTTTGCCAAATCTATGACAGCATAAATGATAAATATCGGTATATAAAAGATAAATATTAGGTAAATAAAGAGAACCTTTTTATATCCCGATATCTATTCTTTATGTGTCTACTTTTAATCTGGTTTGTTACAGTTATTTGGCGGGTCTATAGTAGAATAAAGGATAGATATCAGTACAAAATAAAAGATAAATATAAGATAAATAAAGAATATCTATTACTATTCTGATATCGATCCTTTATATGATAATTATCTAACTAGTTCCTACACGTGTTTGCCAGATCTATAGCAGTATAAAAGATGAATATCGGGAGAAAATAAAATGAATATCAGCTAAAAAATGGGTATCTTTTATTATCCCAATATTGATATTTTATTTAAGAATTATGTATCCATTTTGCTGCCGATATTGGTGACTATAGCAACATAAAAGGTGAATAATGGTATGTACAAAGATAAATATCAGTTAAATAAAGAGTATATTACAGATCTATATTAGATCAGTTATTTATACTGTATATCAATATCAGGTTATCAAAAACTTATGCCATAACTAATAAACAGTATAATTATTTATTTATACAAATTTTATATAAAATAAAAATTTTTATTTAAATATATACAAAGTTTACATAAAAAAAACTATAAAGCTAATACTAATCAAAAACAAAAAACTAGCAAAAAAAACAATTGTAAAACAAAACAATAACCCAAAATGAAAACACTGACAAAAGAGACAATTATAGAGTCTAACACCAACTAAAAGCAAAGACACCAACAAAAGAAACAATTGTAAAGCCAAACAATAACCCAAAACAAAGATACTGGAAAAGAGATAATTGTAGAGCCTAACACTAACCAGAAACAAAGACATCAACAAAGAAACAATTGTAAAGCTAAACACTGACCCAAAACAAAGACACTAGTGAAGAGACAAGTGTAGAGCTTAATACAAACTTGAAACGAAGATACCAATGAAAAAAACAATTGTAAAGCTTAACACCAACTCAAAATGAAAATATCAGCAAAAAAGACAATTGTAAAGCTAAACACTAACCTAAAAAAAAAGTGTCAGTGTTAGAGCCAATTGTAAAACAAAGTATTAATCAAACAAAGGCACTGGTAAAAGAGACAACTGTAAAGCCAAACAAAACCCAAAACGAAGACACAAGCAAAAGAGACAATTGTAGAGCCAAACACCAACCAGAAACAAAGACACCAATAAAAGAAACAATTGTAAAGCTAAACACTGACCCAAAATGAAGACACCGGCGAAGAAACAATTGTAAAGCTTAACACCAACCCGAAACAAAGACACCGGTGAAGAAACAATTGTAGAGCTTAACACCAACCCAAAACAAAGATATTGGTGAAAAAAACAATTGTAAAGCTAAACACTAACCTAAAAAAAAAAGTGCTAGTGTTAGAGCCAATTGTAAAGAAAAGTACTGATTAAAACAAAGGCACTGGTGAAAGAGACAACTGTAAAGCCAAACAATAACCCAAAATGAAGACACCGGCAAAAGAGACAATTGTAAAGTATAATACCAACCAGAAACAAAGACACCAATGAAAGAAACAATTGTAAAGCTAAACACTGACCCAAAATGAAGACACTGGCAAAGAGACAATTGTAGAGCTTAACACCAATCTGAAATAAAGACACCGGTGAAGAAACAATTGTAGAGCTTAACACCAACCCGAAATGAAAACATTGGTGAAAAAGACAATTGTAAAGCTAAACACTAACCTAAAAAAAAAAGTGTCAGTGTTAGAGCCAATTGTAAAGAAAAGTACTGATCAAAACAAAAGCACCAGCGAAAGAGACAACTGTAAAGCCAAACAATAACCCAAAACGAAGATACCGCAAAAGAAACAATTGTAGAGCATAATACCAACCAGAAACAAAGACACCAATGAAAGAAACAATTGTAAAGCTAAACACTGACTCAAAACGAAGACACTGGCAAAGAGACAATTGTAGAGCTTAACACCAATCTGAAACGAAGACACCAGTGAAGAGACAATTGTAGAGCTTAAAACAACCCAAAACGAAGCCACCGGCGAAGAGACAATTGTAGAGCTTAACACCAACCCAAAACAAAGACACTGGTGAAGAGACAATTGTAGAGCTTAACACCAACCCGAAATGAAAACATTGGTAAAAAAGACAATTGTAAAGCCAAACACTAACCTAAAAAAAAAAGTGTCAGTGTTAGAGCCAATTGTAAAGAAAAGTATTGATCAAAACAAAGGCACCGGTGAAAGAAACAACTGTAAAGCCAAACAATAACCCAAAACGAAGACACCGGCAAAAGAGACAATTGTAGATCCTAACACCAACCAGAAACAAAGACACCAATGAAAGAAACAATTGTAAAGCTAAACACTGACCCAAAACAAAGACACTGATGAAAAGACAATTGTAAAGCTTAACACCAACCCGAAATGAAAACACCAATGAAAAAACAATTGCAGAGCTTAACACCAACCTAAAATGAAAACATCAGCAAAAAAGACAATTGTAAAGCTAAACACTAACCTAAAAAAAAAGTGTCAGTGTTAGAGCCAATTGTAAAGAAAAGTACTGATCAAAACAAAGGCACTGGTGAAAGAGACAACTGTAAAGCCAAACAATAACCCAAAACGAAGACACCGGCAAAAGAGACAATTGTAGAGCCTAATACCAACCAGAAAAAAAGACACAAATGAAAGAAACAATTGTAAAGCTAAACACTGACCCAAAACAAAGACACCGGCAAAGAGACAATTGTAGAGCTTAACACCAACCCAAAATGAAAACACCAACGAAAGAAACAATTGTAGAGCTTAACACCAACCCGAAATGAAGACATTGGTGAAAAAGACAATTGTAAAGCTAAACAATAACCTAAAAAAAAAAGTGTCAGTGTTAGAGCCAATTGTAAAGCAAAGTACTGATCAAAAAAAAAGCACTGGCGAAAGAGACAACTGCAAAGCCAAACAATAATCCAAAATGAAGACACCAGCAAAAGAAACAATTGTAGAGCCTAACACCAACCAGAAACAAAGACATCAATGAAAGAAACAATTGTAAAGCTAAACACTGACCCAAAATAAAGACACCGGCGAAGAGACAATTGTAGAGCTTAACACCAACCCAAGACGAAGACAACGGTGAAAAGAACAGTTGTAGGGCCTAACACCAACCCAAAAAAAAGAAAGAAGAAAATACTGATCTGAAATTAGTAAAAGCACAACTATATATAAAAAAAAATTATCGTTATGTAATTCTGATCTATGTAACTGGATATATATATATAAGATGAGTGATGAAGAGGGAAAACCTGTAAGTAAAAATTAACGTTATCACTAATTTATATATACTAGCTCCCTGCCCGTGACTTCGTTACGGGAATATATATTGTTAGTGTATTGTGATAATGTTGTGTTTTGGTAATCGTTTGGTAGCATCAGTGTTATTGTAGTAGTAATCACGTGTTTGTTAAGGTCCTGTTTTTTTGATTTTCTTGTCATTAAATTTATTTAGTTAGTTCGCTTTGGCGTTAAAGTTATTTTATGTTAGTCTAATATCTATGTTGTTTGTATTAAGGTTCGTTTTTTGGTTTAGTTTTTTTTTTTTTTTTTGTTGTATATATTAGTCTGGTATTTTTTTTCGATCTTAATAAGTTATGCGTTTGTTTTTTTTATTTTATGATGTAATTATTTGGTATCTCTCGTGTCGTGATAATGATTCAATTGTTTGTTAGTATTAAATTATTTTTAGAATTTGTTGTATTCGTAAACTTGTATGAAGTTTTGATATTATGATGTAATTCTTCATGTAAGATTCTGTATATAAGTGTTGTATTTTTTTTTCAGTTTTGATTTTTTATTACTGTGTATTTTTCATTAATTAGTTTTGATTTGGTAATGCCGTGTTATGCCGATACGATCGTTAGGATTAAGTATGTTACTTTTCATGAAAATGAGAAAATTGATTTCTTGGTAGTTTGGGCTCTCGGTGCTTATCCAGTAGAGCAAAAAGATTATAACATTGAAATGTCTTTGTTTGTACCTTTAAATTCGGAAGAAAGAGATTTAGAGATTCAAGTGATCTTTGAAAAGGATAGTTTTTTTTGCGTAGGTGGTAAAATTATTCTTGGGTTTATAATGGTTGCAAAAGGGCGAAAGTATTTAGTTTTTTTTTTTATTATTATTTTGTTGGTTTTATTTTGTATTAATTTTTGATTTGTAATTAGATGATTGTTTTGACTTCTACGTATGTATCTATTCTTAATAAGGTTGTTGAATCTAATAAATGTCCTTTAAAAGTTTCTTTGGTTGGAGTTCCGCAGGAGATGCCTATTGAGATTAAAGATGATATTGTTATTAATACGTTGGTTACAGATTTTTCTGGCCAAAAGCATAATTTTATTATGAAAGTTGTTTTTTCACGTCATAATTCTCGTTTATTGCGTTTGAAAGATATGATTCGTCCCAGGAATCTTTGATTTTTGTAGTTGGGCAGTTAGAGATAATTAGGAATGAATTTTACGTATATTCTAAAGATATTAATTATGTTGATACACATTTTAGTAATAAGAAGAGATTCTTGGATGGAAATATTTCTCAGAATTCATCAGTTTCTAAAAGTTCGATTCGTTCTAAGCTTTTAGCTACTCATCAAAATATTGTTGGTGATTCTGAAGAGAAGTTAGACAATAAAACTTCTGTCGACTCGAATAATTTTGTGGATAATTATGATTTTAATGCTGCAGGTAGTTCTTGTTCAGCGAAACATGCAAAGTTCGATGATTTTGATGAATCTTTCGATGATACTTCAGTAAATTTTGAATCTAAGTCTCGTAGTAAAGAGGATGGTTGTTTGTCTGGTTGTGAAGAAGAAGGAGTTAAGGAAGCTGTAAAAGATAGTAAGAATAAAAGAAATTTTTCACGTAGTGAAGGTAAAAAACCAGTTGAACGATCTTTACATAGTAGTTTACGTGGGTCGAATTCAGTTAAAACTTAAATTAGATTTTCGATTTTTATTTTTTATTTTTTTATTTTATATCTATTTTTTTTTTCAGTAGTTATCATTATTTTTTTTAGGATTTTTTTATTATTTATAAAATAAAATTAGTATTGCGTTATCTTATTTCTATTTGTCTTATTAGGTTTTTGTTTTAGTGATTGTTTATTTGGTTTATTTTATAAATTGTTAATTCTTATATATATATAATATATATTATACCGATATAGTTGTTATGTAAATTTTAGTTTTATAAGATTTCTCTGTATACTACATTTCGTGTATAGATCCCTTTTTTGCCATGAATTTTACTATTTTTAATTAATACTTAATATTACGGAAAGATTTAGCTCTTGAAAAGGCGACATAGAGCTGACCGTGTGTAAACACGTGTTCTGGTAGAGTCCTACATTCGGGATGGTATGTCCTTGTGATTTGTTAATCGTGAGGGAGAAAGCAGGTTTTATCAGAAATTGTTTTCTTTTTAATGTAAAGGGAAGCTTTACGTCATTTGGCGAGGTGAAAATTATCCGAGGAAGGAATACTTGTTTGCCTTTATGATTACCGGTGATTATTTCTGCTTCAATAACATTGGTACTGAATGTTTTACATATTAGTCTAGTACCGTTGCATAAACCATTAAGCGGATCTAAGTTTTGAAGACATATGACGGGTTTGTTAGTCTTTAGTTTGAGTTTGTGTGGAGGGATATCACTGATGGTTACTGAGTTTAGGAATTCTTGTTGGTAAAGGTTATGGTTGTCATCGGGGACGGAATGATAACTGTGGTATGTTATAGTTTCGCCTGGTAGGTGGTCTAATATTGTGTCGTTGATATGATCGACGTATTCATTTTTGGTTGTAAGTATAACTTTATCAGTGAAGTAATGGGCATTTAAAAATCGAGTCTGTAGGGACGGATATACTGTTTGTATAAGATTTCGTAAAGATTTTTCACTATGCCATTTAATTATCATATTATCAGGAACTCTGATCATATTGTCGTTGATAGTCTGTTCTGTTCCGTTTCCTATTCTTAGCAAGAATTCTCTAAAGTCGTGAGCTTCGGGATCATTTTCTACTCGCATATTTTGGTGAAGATGATAAATTTCTATTGCATTCCACAGTGATGATGATTTTAGAGTTGCATTTACTATCTGTGCGCGACTTCCTCTTGGAATTACGGGTAAAATCTGGCGAAAATCTCCACCAAATACGATTACTTTTCCGCCAAATGGTCTGTCGCATTTCATTATATCTTTTAATGTTTTATCCAAAGCTTCTATCGAATAGCGGTTCATCATTGAAATTTCATCCCAAATGATTAGTTTTGCTGATTCTAGTAGTTTGGCCAGATGACTTTGTTTACTAATCGTGCAGGTTGAACCTGGGCCGATGTCCAGAGGGATTTTAAATTTAGAATGTGCGATTCGCCCCCCTGGCATCAGTAGTGCCACTATACCTGATGATGCAGTTGTTAGGGCAATTGAATAGGTTGAACGGATTGCAGCAAGTAGACAAAGATAGAGGAATGTTTTTCCGGAACCTATAAGTTATGTTATAGAAAATTAGTTCATATTTAATATATATTTCCAAAGATTGTAATTTCCGGTTAATCCATATTGTTTTATTGAGTTAAGTTGTTCATTTCTGATGTCTTAAGTTTCAATTTGTTATGATTATAGGATCGGTTGAATTGTTTTTTAAAGATTTAATCTAGTATATGTGGTACGTATTAAATTCTATATCATAGTTTATTTTTTTATCCTACCGTTTGATAAGTTTTTTTTTCAGAGAGGTTTTTGGATTATTTCTATATTATATGTTACCTGCAGGTCCATCTACAAATATTGCTACCGATTGATTTTTTCTAATTCGTTCTATAACAACATCAAATACTAATTTTTGGCTTTCGTTTAATAATCCAATTTTTGACAGGTCTTCATTCGTTACTGGAATGTTTAACTCGTTAAGTAGTAATCTTGGTAATTCATTTGGGTTTTCAGTCGATGTCAGTGGAGGTAGATCATATTCACTCAGAGATTTGTTGTGTTGTTCTAAATAATACTTTATTTGAAGAAGTACTGCATTTGTTCTAAGATTATTGTTTGGTATTTCGTTTTTTGCGAAATCTTCTGACATAGCTTTGTAGTTGTTATTCTATAGGGTTCAAGTATCAGTTGGTTCACCAAATAATAATATCGTGGCAAATAGTTTTCTAAGTGTTAACGGCATTTGAAATTGTGTTGCCTTACGCATAGTTTCTTTATACATTGTTTCGCTTTCTATAAGGTTTCGTTTCATTGGCTTTCTTTGAATGTTGGACATAGATAGTTGTTTACTGTTTTTAAGTCTGTGAATAATTTTGCGCCTTTGATGTTATTTAGAAGTACTCGTAAATAATAACGTTCTCCTTCACCCGGATTGACTGCATATATTCTTCCGATCATTTCACATTGTTGGCGTTTAGTCTATTTTTTAGTTGTCCTGTTCCAAACATAATATTCCAAGAATTCTCGATATGAATAATTGTGTGCTTGCAGATCAATTTCATTCATTTTAAAGTATTCTGTAAGTATAGTTTTTTTGTTCTTTTCGTTGTTAAAGACATTATGTATATTTGATGTTTCAGAAAATGTTATATTATGTTGGTTGGGAAGATGAATTTGTAGGCGTAAGATCGATGGTCTTATGTTTGAAAGTTCGAATCCAAAGATTCTCCAGCATGACTCAGAGGATGAGACCTATCGAGTGTTCAGGTATTGATCAATTTCATTGTTATTTTTTATGTGTAAAGCTGCGCGATCATGACCTTTGTATACATATTTGTATAAATATTTTATGGACTTAATGCTTGAACAAATTTCGACGTTAATATGGCAATTGTATTTGAGAGAAAGGTAGGGATTGTATGGAACAACCCAATGGTTATCCATTTTTGCGTTATTTATTATTATATGTCTTCCATCATCATGTCATCGATATAACGGATAAGAATCATTACCTTCTCTTGTTTCTTGGTTAAATTCTTTCAGATAGTTTTTAGCACATTTATTTTCTTTCATACATGGTGCGTTCTTATTAAAAGCTCCGCATGGACATGGATCATAAATATGACAACTGTTTGGTATAGTTTAGGCTGTTCTATTGGATCAGGTATTTCTGCCGACACGATAGCATCATAATTATCTGCCCCGTGTAATTTGTTGTCATGGTGAAAAATTATCAATAAATGTGCGTGGGGGAGACCACGTTTCTGGAATTCTACTACGTATATACGTGCGATTACTTTGCCTAGAACACTTCGTGTAAAAAGGTTTTTTTTTAATTCTTCTAACTTCGCATGAAAAATTCGAGCTATAAAATTAAGTATTTTAAATAAATATATATGAAATGTTTAATAATTAATAAATACAATTAAATTATAATAAATTAAGTTTATATTAAATAAATAAAGAGTTATAATATTATTAAATACTGGGTAATTTTATGTAATTTTTAGAATAGGTTATTAATTTATGTAAGTTGTTTTATGTTATAATGTTTGTTTTTTAAATGGCTTTTGAATCGTGTTTATTTTTAATTGTTAATTGCAATAATATGAGAATTCCGGGTTAATGGTTTTTTTATATTTAAAACTTAGAAATGTCTGATGGTAGTTGTAAGTATATCATAGGTGCTTTTTATTGTAAATTGAATAAATGTTATTATTTTCTTTAAATTTATTTTTACCTGTAAGGTCTGGTCTATCTTGTGGAGTTTGTCTTGGTAGCAGGTTTGATTTTATTTCATTCCACCAAGGGTTACATGTAATCGTGATAAATAAGTCAGGTTTTCCATACGTTTGGACTAAAGCCATCGCGTCTTGATATCTCTGATACATGTCGCGAGGTCCATCTATGAATGTTGAAGGCAAAATAATGTGTCGCCCTATTTCTGACATATTGGGTGTTCCCAATTGGTAAGAATCTTGTAAGTCCTGATAAAGTTCTTGTTAGATATTATTTTGGTTATAACGTAAGAAGTTAAGACGCGTAGATTCGATTTTTACGTAGTTGTCAACAATGTATTGTTGGAAAAGTCTACCACCATAAAACAGTAATGACGGAGAAGGTTTTCTAAAATATAATTTATAGGAATAATATTGCTTTGCAGTAATTTTTTTTTGCGATATATTTTGTAATATTTCTGGATGCTAGCCATAGTTTCCTTGAGGAAAAAGCAGTGGATACTGCATTGGATCATATGACCCGCTTAATTCTGATACTCTCTGTAAACCTTGTGATCGAGAATCTATGATTATGTCGCGTTTGGTATGACCTTCTGGATTATTGCCTTCTATCCATATAGCAGCGACTTGTGAAGTTGTTGGGATGTTGTAAGTTTGTTAGTCTAAGCCGTAATCAGCTTTTATTGAAAGGTGAAGGTCAGCTATATTACTGTAGGTGGAAATTGAGCGAAAATTCACTATAAAAGGATTTAATCAGTTCAATAATCCTTTAATAAATTCTAAGATGTCTCGACAAAGTCATGACATTATTCTAAGTCTGTTATTCGTTTCAAATTCAGTATCATAGATGTATAGTTGAAGAAATTTTGGGGTTCCATCATCGGGTATAAGTGATCCTATCGAATGGTAGATTCCTCCTTGTACTTGATAGGTATAAATACCATTTTTACCTATTTTAAAGTTATCAGCACTGATCTTATTCTGTGTCTCACTAAAATTTCTTACCATTTGCAAGATTCTTGTCTAATTTGACGCCCATGAATGTAAATGCGAAAGCGCTATTATAGGCTCTAATTTTTTGACAGAAATTTTTTCCTATTTTATCACGTCTCATAAACAAATCTTTTAAAATTGCACTATCATTATCTGCCGTCATTAACCTGTTATTGAAGAATTTCATTAATTTTGTATGTTTTTTTTTTTTTTTAAAAAAAATATTTACTTGATTTTTCCTGATCCGCAACACGGTTGATGTGTTTCAGTAGGAAAGAGTATAGCATGATAGCAGGTACATTTATATGTATCTGTAAATATATGACGTTTAAAAGAAGTTGTCTCGCGAAAATAGCAAGCAACATTATAATTATTATTCTTTTTTTTTGGTTTATATGTTTTTCTAGATTTTTGGATCCAAGCAGCATCTGCTGCTTTACGTTCTTCGGTAGTCCTTGGCCGAAGGTTTCGAAGCAGCAGCATTTATTAAGTAAAATTAATAAATTCAATAAAATTTTATACAAAAAATAAGTTTTTTTTTTGTTTTTTTTCTATTCAATTCAATTCAATACTATTTGTTTTTTAGTTTTGAATTCGTGGTATTTTTATATCTAACATTAACATAATTTTTTTTTTTTTTAGTCTGTTTCATATTTACTATTATTGTATTCATTTATATTATTATTATCATAGAATTATTATGTTCTTATTTGTTTTATTATTGATTGTTTTTGGTAAGCTTTTATTTTATTTAGTAATAATAGGAGTCGTTATATCATTTATGTGTTGTTATTATCTTATATTTTGTTTTATTTATCTATTTTTATTATTTAATGTCTTCATTAATCAGTTTATTTTACCAAAATGGTGATGGAAGAATGCATTATTTCGATTTATATACGTATTTTGAATCATGCATTTACTATTATTAATTATCAATTAATTTTTTATTTATCAATTATATTCATTTAAATTTCTTTTTCTATTTAAGTCAATTAGTAATTATCATTATGTAGTTATTATTACATTATAAGTAATAAATTTTTAACCTGTCGATCATAACTTTTTTTGTGCAATTTATTTCGTACTTTAATTTCAATTATATCATTTTCGATATTTGCTGATAAATGTCGTGATTAAATTTTTAAATCGGGAATCGTTTGAGAACAATGTAATTTTTATGCATCATGTGATTTTCATTCTGTTATATAAAATTAATTTTTTAAATTGCTTAGTTTCAGATTTGTAATTTATATTAGATGTCGTAATTTTTTATTTTTTGCTATATCATTTCTGGCATTTTTATAATTAACATTTTTAATTTATATCTTGACAATATAAATAGATATTTAGTATAAATTAAATATTCAGTATATAAATCATATTAATTACGATCAATCATGATAATATGCATCATAAATATTCATAATCATAATAATTATATATATATATAATCATAATGATTATACATATATTTAATTATAATGATTATATTAGAACATATACATTATTGAACGTATTTCAATATATGTAATGTTAGAATCTATATATAATAGTAACATATTATAAAACATGTAATCATTATAATTCGCAATCACAATAATTATAACCACAACAATTATGATAATAATAATGATTATATTTTTATGTAATTATAATAATCACGTTATATTTATAATATTATGTTGTTATAATAATCATGTTATAATGATTTGTAATCATAATAATTATGATAGAATAATATTATATTATGTAGTCATAATAATCGTGGTATAATTATAATTTTATGTGTCATAATAATTACGTTACAACGATTTGCAATCATAATAATTATGATATTAACTATGATGTTTATTACGATAATTATGATAATTACGATAATTATGATAATTACGATCATAATGATCTTATCATTTACAATGGTAGTTTAGTTTATAATTATGTAATTAATAACTCTCAGAAGATACATCTCTCGGATTTTATAACCAATTGATGTTTATTATGATAATTACGATAATCACAATCACAATGATCACATCATTCACAATGGTAGTTTAGTTCATTATTATGTAGTTAATAACTCTCAGATCAGAAGATACATCTCTCGGATTTTAATCAATCAAAAACGTTAAAACCTACAAACCCAGATTTAAATGATATAGATTATATATATATTAGTGATAATGTTAATTTTTACTTACAGGTTTTCCCTCTCCATCACTAGATTATATAATTGTAATTGCTATAGCTGATCAACTTATCATAAATCTGAGTTTGATACAAACTTAGATTTATGATAAGTTGGCTGACCTTAGCAATGACAAATTATTTAAAAAATATATCGATATATAAAATAAAAAAAAGAATTTTAGAATTTTACATATAATTTATCGGCTATGTGTTTGTCACATATGTGTATAACATATACATAGTATATCAGGTTTTTTTTACCATTTTCGTGGTTACTGAAGTTGTTGCTTTAGAATCGTTGTAGGAAGCATCACACTTTGGAGACATCGAAGCTATTGTCACCTTGGTATGAATTTCTTTTTTTTATGTTATTGTTTACTAGTCTAATTAGTTACATTATGTAATGTGTTTGAAGTTTTTATGCATTGAAGTTGCATTGAAAGAAGCCAAAATGTATTAATTAGTATTTTAAACAGTGCAACTTCAAGCACGAAGCCCATGGTCAAAATATGGTGGAAATGTGGCTATTTTGATTGACCAAATGTGCATATCATTAAGATAAGTATGCTCCAAGTTAACTTTTACCTAAATCACTTTTTTTTTCAAACACGCATGTTATCAGATAAGGCATGCCATGCTAGTCAACAAATTTTTTTATCCAAAATATTGTGTTCAACCAATCCTATATCAATAACAATATCCAACATTATTTGTTCTTATTAGTAGAACCCATATCAGCTAATTCCTGATGCCTGAAGGTCTTGTGTTTGTCCTTTCAATTTTATTTTATGTTTCATTAGCAGAGCCCATATTAGCTGATTTGATAATAATAGAGGCCATATGCACATCTTTTCTGACTAAAATTCCTTGTGTTCATCTTTTTAACTCCAATTCCATCATATGTTTCACTAGCAGAGCCTATGCTAGCTGATTTTTGATAATAAATGAAGGCTATATGCTCATCTTTTTTGATCATATTGATAACAATACGCTTCATCAGCAAACCCCGTATTTGCTGATTTTTGATAATATCTGAAGGCTTTTGTTTATCCTTTTTCAACTCCAATCCCAATAACTAACGTCATATTTTCTATTAATAGCCTGTTATATGAAACAATGGCTTTTATTACTTATTAAATTGTATCTCATCTGATTAGTTTATTCGATTTCTGGCTAATTGCAATTTTATCTTTGATCTATTGAAAGAAATATCCTTAGGAACTTTTATATTGTTAGATATTGGATAGGTTGGATTAGAATTAGTATCGGATAGGTTATAGTTGGGTTAAAGGTAGTATTGGATAGGTTAGAGTTGGGTTTAGAGATGTACTATCACGCATTTATCAGTGCGAGGTGTTAATCAGTACATACAGTATTTTAACTTAAATAATTAGTTATATAACAATTAATACTTCGTACTGATAAATGCGCGATGGCATATCTCTAGTTGGGTTAGAGTTAGATATATTGGTATTTTTTTAATATATACAAATAAATAATAAGTAAATAAAGTTTACTATATTGTATATAAATATATAATAAATGACTAGTTACGTAAAAGGGTGGCGATGTATCGCTATGGATAAAACCCTAAAAAAAAAACTTATTAAAAAAATATTAAAAAAATTATTCGATTACAATATCATATATAATTATATAATATAAAAAAAACATTAAAAATTAAAAGAAATATATTTATTTATTTTACCAGACTTATATAATTTTAAATATCCCAATATTTGTAGTAATTATAGTTGATTTTTATCTAATATAGTTTATAATCTGATAGTTATACTGTAGTAATTCTAATTAATTTCTGTATATATATATAATATTATAGTTTTTATCCTAATATATATTTACCAATAGCAATCTCTTTTTAAAGGTTTTAGCAACTGCATGTAGGTTAGATATCGGAAATATATAAGCTACTAAAATAGTA